CTGGGTCTGACTCAGTCTCGCCCACCCACCTGTGTGCCCGAAGGCCTGCCTTCTCCTCCCCTCACCCAGCAACCTTCCCCTCATCCCATCAGCCTTTGCGGGCTGTCGCCTCTCACTGAGACTCTGCTGATTTCTCAGCTGAGCTGGGTGCTTCTCTTGACCTCCAGGCCTGTCCTCTGAGGCTCCTGCCATTCCGATCATGTACTTCCCCACCAAGTGCAGGGTCTGCGTCCCTCGAGGGATGCCTGGCACCTTGGTGTCTCGGAGCCAGTGGGGCCCTTCCCCATGCTGGAGCGGGGGACAGGTGCCCTAATGATGTCCAGCCCGGCTCTGCCACTCCTCTTCTAAACTGTGGCAGATGTGTGTGCCTCATCGGGTTATTGGGAGGATGAAATGAGATTATGTAATAATTTATGGGCTTAAAACAGGGCTGCTGCCTTCTGAGCCTCATATAGGTGCTGCTTAAAAAAAGTCATTTAAGAGGGACGTGTCATTCTCCTCCCGCCTCTCTGGAGGAAAAGTCAGCCTCAGGAACTCCCTAACATCCCACCGTCGCCACTTCCCACCCCAACGTTTAAACCCCAGCTACGCCCTTTCCCGAGGGCGTGACCTGGGACACCTGTCAAGGGTTTAATTCCAGTTTCTTCTCATGAACGTGGCATGTTTGTTTTGGCTACTGGTTCTCCAGAAAAACAGAACCAGTGGGACGAGAGAGAGCATGTGTGCGTGCATGCCTCCCTAACATCCCACCGTTGCCACTTCCCACCCCCACGTTTAAACCCCAGCTACGCCCTTTCCCGAGGGCGTGACCTGGGACACCTGTCAAGGGTTTAATTCCAGTTTCTTCTCACGAACGTGGCATGTTTGTTTTGGCTACTGGTTCTCCAGAAAAACAGAACCAGCGGGACGAGAGAGAGCGTGTGTACGTGCATGCGTGTGCATGTGTGTGTGTGTATGTGTATAGACGTAGATATAGATACATATAGAGAGGTTCATCTTAAGGACTTGGCCCTTGCAGCGGTAGAGGCTTGGTAAGTCCAAACTCGGCGGGGCAGGCAGGAGGCCCAGGGAAGAGCTGTTATGCAGCTGGAGCCCGAAGGCCGTCTGCTGGCGGAAGCCCTGCTTCCTTGGGGCACCTCAGTCTTTTGCCTCTCAAGGCCTTCGACTGATCGGAGGAGGCCCACCCTCATCGTGGAGGGCCGTCTGCTTTACTCTATGGATTAAATGTTCATCTCGTGTAAAAAATACCTTCACAGCGACACCCACACGTTTGACCAAATACCGTGGCTTAGCCAAGCTGACACATAAAATTAACCATAACAGCTACTAAAGATGATTCTTTTGATGTCCTCGGTGGGATTCCAGAGGAGCGAGGCTGCGGAGAGCTATGTTCTGGGCGGCAGGATGCTAATCGGAAATAGAACGGGTTACCCTCCGCTGTCCGTCAGGGAAGGGCAGGAAGCCCCATGAGTCCGCCGATCTTTCCAGAAATCCTCTTAGAGATTGATAACACCCTCACGTGTGCCAGACCCTTCGACGCAGATTTCTCCGTTAGGATCAGTCGTGAGGAGCTAGAGAAGGGAGCCAAATGTGCCGTGTACAGAGACGTTCGTGGCACCAGTTTGCGTAAGGAGTGAAATTAAAAAGAAGCTTAGTGTCGGGTTGCGGGAGAGTGACCGAGTAATTTCCGGATCGATGCCCCCTTCTCTAGTGGGCTAGCGTGGGCGCTCCATTCTCCGTGGTGGTGTTAATCACGGGTCTTGTTTCACTTCGTTCTATTTTTAAAGATAAAACTATCAAATTATGGAAGATTACCGAACGCGATAAAAGGCCCGAGGGCTATAACCTGAAGGACGAAGAAGGGAAGCTTAAGGACCTGTCCACGGTGACGTCGCTACAGGTAAGATGCTGAGCGTGGGAGAGCCCAGCGAGCGGGGAGCACGTTTATGCTTCTTTTCTTAAACGATGAGCATTTTAGGGCTTGAAGCGCCCTCGGTATGTGAGCCGCAGTCTGGTTCGGATCCTGGCTGCGGTCAGGTGAGCGAGTGGCAGAGCTGGAAGGAGAACCTGTGAGCTGAGCTCGGTGGGCTCCCCGCCCTTTGCCGAGGGCAGGGGGAAGCTGGAATGGGCGACTCTTGCAGCTTTTACGGGGCTCAGCTTAAAAGATCGCCGTTGATTTGCGAGAGGTCTGGAGGTCGAGCCGCAGAGCCGTCTGTGCCAAAGCAAACTCATCTTCAACGTGGTTAAAAGGCAAAGGGAGTCTTCTTTTCTCCAGTGGAGCGGCTGTGACACATGGAAGAAAGCGTTCTGGAGTCACAGGACCTGGGTTCAAATCCCGCCTCTGCCACTTCCTGGCGGGTGGCCCTGGGCCAGGCTGTCAGTCTCCATGAGCCTCCGATTCCTCATCGGAAAGCAGAATGACCACTGGCCAACACGCGTCTTCCGGGCACTCGGGCTGTAATAACTCACTGAATCTCCACTGGGATCCTGTGACGTGGGCGCGTGATCCTCACGGACGAGGGAGCGGGAGCTGGGACCCAAAGCCAGGGAAGTCTGGCTCCGGAGTTGGCATGCTGGTCTCCCCTGGGACGTGGGAACGAGGTCCCTGCCTCACCGGAGAGCCACGGGCCCTGCTGGGAGG